AGATTGTTATAGAAAGTCACCGAATAAGCTACCAATCCATCATCCTTTGCTCGAAGAACTTTGCGCTAGACGAAACTCTCTCTCTCTCCTTTACATTTTCTCTTTTCATCTCTGTTCCCCCTTTCGTTAACTCATTTTTGTTTTCTTGCGTGCGTCTCATACCCGACGCTGTTCCTTTTGCTAACACGTTGCAGTTTTCCCCTTATTTCACGTGCAACGCCAGAAAGAATTCGAGATTTACAACATGGCCTAATACACTCGCAACGAGAGGACGGCTATACGTCATCCAAAGCCAGCCGGAATTTATCGTATAGCCGAGTTAGTGCGCACCAAGTACCACCACCGTCGACTACATGCCTTACGCCAAATCTAAACACCCGGATATAGTCTGATGAATTATGACACCTTCGCTCTATCAACGATGTGCTCTTGCTTCTTGTACATCTTTGTAGCAAACATTAATGAATAAATCTTGCGAATGGCTGGCCTCTTAACAGCGCGTTCGAAAAGGAGGAGGTTCGTACATACAGAGAAATCACATATCAATTTCATTACTGGCACAGTGAGATATTCTGAGAAGTATAATTTATTAATGGTATTGCCGAAGGAAAGCTCGTGGGCTGATAAATTATTTCCCAATACCGATCAGAAGAGAAATCGTAGAAACGTAGTGGTAGTCACGTAGTAATAACGATCACATAAATTTCAGAATGACGGTCAATGGCTACTGATGAACCATACAATATACGCCATCCAAGGAGTAATTGGAGTAGTACAAGGTAAAATTCCAACACTTGTAAAAATTGAAGACACAGAAATTAATAATAACCTCTGTTGAAAAGTACACAGCGCACAGTCACCCATTATCTAATAATGCTGCTTAATGTAGAATAGCTCTTGGTTACCGACAAGTGTTGTACGGTATTTTCGAGCCCAAGTCGATTATTCTTTAATAAGATAGAGCAATCCTTATTGAATGCAATCTTGTGCAATCTTTATTGAGTACGATGTGCGCCAATCATTGATGACAATACATCACTTGATCTCTCTTGTACTTAGCGCCAATCCTTAGTAAGTATAGTCAATAGAAGAATCATAAAATTATATCATTTAGGTTTTATGCGTTGAAACATTTCTACGAACGAATTGATAAAACCTGAAAACTTAGCTAGGAGCTACACGTAGCATACCTTGGTACAGACTTTATCGAATAAAGTAGAGGACTACGCGCAAACTCAGACGCGAGGATACCAATACCGAAACGCATTTTTTAACAGGACGCATATAGCGTGTCACGGTATTACAGATAAACATCGTAAGAAACGATATCATCGAAAACGATAAACCGATATCTACCAACGTACTTATCACGATGAATCTTATCTTCGCCCTTCATAAGAAATTCATTTATATTGAAACAGAAACCACCCAGAAACCACCCAGACGCGAGAGAAAGAAAACGAAGAAACATCGAATACTATAACGCGACGCACGATGGGACACGAGGAGGCTATAATTCGTGGCGACACGCTTACGAAATTCTCTCGAGTTTGGACTGATTACGGGAGGAGTTAAGAAGAAACGCGATACTCGAGGAAATTATGAATTTACAATTCGGCCGGTATCTTTCTTCCTGCGATCCGATCGGAGATCGAGAAAAGAAAGGAAAAGAGAAGAAGTGAAAAAAAAGAAAGAAAAAACGGTAGGATCACCGGGCCTCGGGGCCGATCTTATCCCCGGCGTCGTGGCATCGGCTGCCTACGCACGAACGTCCCCGGTGTCTTGACAGACGTCTGAATGTGCATGCGCGCAGCTGCATTTCACGCGAGACACCCACCGGCAATTATGCGCATGGTGAAACGCACGAGGGTGAAAAAGAAATCGCGAAAGCCCATGGCGGGAGCCAGGCCGCGTATAACCGCGCACCAGAAGGCTGCGCGTATACTCTATACGTGGAAAAGACCACGACGACTATTTGTCAACGGTTGAGAGACGGCAGCGGATCTTACCCACGGACTCCTCTTCTCTTCTCTTCTCTTCTCTTCTCCTCTCTTCTCTTCCCTTCGCTTCTCTTCTCTTCTTTTCTCTTCTCTTCTCGTGGAACGGAGAAAAAGCGGTGGAAAGAGAGATAGGAGGAGAGAGGACACTTCCCCTTCGCCAGGCCAAGAGAACGGGGCACGTTCTTCTTACGTGGATCGCGGGTACAAATCGTCGCGGTAAGATCAAAAACCAAGCGTACGTTCGCTTTCAGTGCCGTGCCGACAACCAGGCGACCAGATAATCCGCCGTATAATTTCGTCACCGAGGAACGTGGCTCGCTATAGCTGAAAACCCCTTTTAGATCCGGTGGAAACATCGATTCCTTGTGTAAATATAACGTCAGAGAAAAATATGAAGTGGTCGGTTCGAACAAGATGCTTTTTCAGGAATGACGTTGCTCCGATACAGGTAATACGTATCGTACGATATAAGAAAGTCGAGACGTACGATTGTGTGCCTACTGACAGAGAATTTGATAGTAACGAACAGTTTTGTTCGGTATCGCGTGTAAAATCGAAACGATTACTTCTGATAGACTACGAACAGCTGGGCTTTCAGATTTATGATGTACCAAGAGGAACAACGAGATTGCACAACGGTGCATTTCAATTCCAAGCTGTTACTACTCGACAGCCAGTTTTATTACGCATCTGGTTGATGAAATAATAGAGTCGAGGTCTAATACGGCCGTCTGGTATTTAAATATGGACCGATCGTGACTATTGGTAACCGCATGAGCGTGAACGAGAACCATCGATATACGTTGCTCCATACTACGCGAAGAAATATAAAAACGCAGGGTTGTCCGGCCTCCTTCGAACATTGTGCGTTCGCGAGCGCAGCCGCAGTTCGAATGCCATACATTTTCTCTCTCTCCTGTTCGCGCTAGTCTCGCGTGCTGCTCTAGTGGGAAGCAATTTTTCTAGAGGCGGGCTAAAATAACCGTTCTCTCCGCGTAGGTACGAGGTTGACGCGGTATCAGCCTTGCAAGGCTGCTTCTGACAAGGCGACCTCGTTCGAAGTCAGATAGTAAACTCGTTGTAACGTGACATTCTCGAGCGTGCATTCAACGAATCGCCGGTGTCCAGACAAGCCACGTGAGATATTTTGCTCTTATTTTTTATCGGGTATCGAGTATGGAATCGGTCGGGCATTACCCGTAATCATTCAGAGGTCTGCGAAACACACAGCCGGTCGAGCGATATACGTGAATACGGTTCTCTGTATGATTTTGATCTGCCATAATACTAGCGCGGCTCTATTGACGGTAAATGCAATACAGCTGTCTTCGTATTTCAATTGCGTATAGTTCGGCTTTGAATGCACCGGACTGATACGGATAATCGAGACTGCGCGTATGCATCGATAAACGATGGAATTCCTTTCTTTTATTTCGCTCTTTTCTCGCAAAAGAAATATTAAACAGGAAACGATAGCACGGTTTGATCGATGTCTTAAAATATTCGATCTTATTACATCACGGACTAAGAAACTGGTACGGGCAAGACGAATGTTTGTTTCTCGGATTATTCGCTAGAAGACATTCCCGTCTGTCGTTAACGCTTAAAACGAAAAATATAGAAATACGCAACGTAACGCGATACTTGAGCGTGATTTACGATAAGTTTACGGGTTTCGTGCGTTACGAGCGAGTGAAACTGTAACGAAGTAACAAAATAACGAAATTTTTTCTCTAGATATTATCGGTTTTTAGCTTTGAAACTTCGAGTTGAGAAATTGGAGGAGAAACACGCGTAAAGATGAAAACTTTCGCAAGCCGTATATATGGCCTGTAACGTAACACGCTGTATGGTATTTCCCATCGCAATTATATCCTTTCCGTAACTGCAATTACACCAGCTGCTTATTTCGCGTAGCACTTTTTTCGGGTATATGCCAGTATCCTTTATAGTTGCTAAGGTATCATTCACACCGTAAACACAACTTAATTCTACACACTACACTTCGGGATTCAGGGACAGATGTACGTATTTACCGTCCGTCACGATCGCAATTTCCATCACCATCTCCATCATCATCATCTTCATCATCATCATCATAATCATCATCATCCAGATCGGACCTCCCGGCAATACACGTATCTCTGTTGAGGAATCTAAAAACGAGTCATGCGAACGTATGTAATACCAAGAATCGAATGTAATTGGGGGAGGAAACGCGAGGCCCCGGTCGCGCAATGCTCATGGCAACGAGACCTTATGCATTATTGTTCGCGTTAAACGTATCTGTAATTTCTTGGAATTACATTTACCAAAGTTACGTGTATCGTATACGGCACTCTACTTAACAAACATCTGCTCTGCACTCGAAGAAATCAGGCATCGGACTCCCCTTTCTCTCGTACGCACACATCCACCAACGTTGATTATGCATAATTATTTGTTGCATTTTGAAATCAACTTCTCGCTCGTTTCCATACACGTATACTTCAATACGAAAGATTCTGACGTGTTCGCTCGTTTCGTTTTTTCGTGAAAGTCGATAGAAAAACACATTTTATTTGATTCTAATAAAAATTGAAAATAGGGAAATCAAATTGGATTTTCTACCTTTTTTATATTCAATTTCTTCTATCGTCTAAGCGCTACGTTGAAACAGTAAAAAAAAACATAAAACGCATAAACTTGCGTTTACGATGTTTTAATTGTAGCAAAACGTGGATGAATGGATAATCCAGATACGCGTCGGAAGGAAAGCCGATTGTTCGCCGTAACGAGCGAAAGTTGCATAACCCATCGAAACTATAGTCAACAGGCACTCCCCCATTATGAAATTCCAGCTTAATAGGCTTCCGGCTAAGCGTGCGTGCCTGATCGGACCAGGCGGCCTAAATTCCATCCGATCCTGCTCTAATTGTCATTCAAGTTACCGCGGCAAAGTTTTCTTTCCAGTCAAGTTTTTCAACCGTGATCTCGCAACGAGACAGACAGCCTAAGTACGGCCGCGTACCCGCTAAATTCCAACGAAACCGGACCATGAAGTGCAACGAACAAACTCGACCTTTGTCACAACTTTGCCATTCTGAATGTCCAACGATGCGTAGACATTGTACGACGCGCGTGTAACGCTCTACCCATTCGTATGCCAATCGTAGAATCAATTAGAAGCAACGCTCGAACATCTCGCCTTCTTAATATCGCCGACGCTATTCAAGTCTAGCCGAGTGTTTAGACAAAAGATTTATTTGTTTGCGCGCACACGCACGCGTATCGCGATAGTATCCGTAGCGGCACATGAGTAGAGGACAAGTCAAATCATGTTGTCGTTTTGCCTCGGAGTATCAAGATCGTTAGGACACACGTAACGTAATGATAAATAACCTCCGGGCAAAACAATGTCGCCACTACGTACAACCGTCGAACAAAGACGAATTTGAATTTTTCGGCTCTCCCGCGATCAGTATAAATAAACGGACGCGATCGCGAGCGAATCAGTACATACCGAGTATCTGGGAATTGTCGATCAATATGTGCGAGTTATCAGCGAGCAATAATACAATGTCTTGACCAATACGTTTGTGCAAACGTCTCTCAACAGTATTTATATTTATTAATTTATTTAATTCTTTTAAATATATTTGACGGGTTGCAACAGCAAGTTATCGTTATTCTATATTACAGTCCCCTACAAGTGCTCTATATTGTGAACCGGAATAAAAGAGAACGTTTATACGTGGATAGAAGCTAAAAGATTAATACAAGGAACATTTTGGTCAGAAAAACCAGCCTATCAAGTATACGTCGAAGTGTTCATCGTCGAACAGGATGCGTATATTCCAACTAATATATTTATTAGACAGAAAGGAACACTTCTGGTCGAGCTTTCTCGACCTTACCCCAAGGATGTGCAGATCGACATAATTTACTTGTAATTGAAGTCGCAGATGCAGAAGGAGGTTCCCAGAAATTCGATAACTTCCTTTTAACAGTTGATCGACGGAGTTCATCGAGTGAAGCAGACAAAAAATGATAAGCGGGAGCGTCGATTTAAAAATTATGGCTTTGAAGCTATGGGAACCTCTGCGAAGTCAAAGTAAAAGTATTCCCGCTGCAGAACCCGAAAATCTACAAGAAGTGAAGGAACGGAAAATCACGAGGTGCACTATTAAAAGAGCAGTTCGCAGCAACATAAGCGTAGCAAAAATCGAATGTCTGAGACGAAAGCGGTGCAAATAACGATAACCGAACAGCGGAAGAAAATACCAGGAATAAGTATGTTACGCGGTCTGGCCGAAGAGTACGATTTTCCGATTGGTTTAAGGCAAGTTTCAGTTAAGAGTTGTAAATTATCGGACACAGGATGTATCGGTAACTTTTAAAATAGCGACGACCAAGGACAAAATAGTGTAAACAATTTTATAAATATAACTTAATAAAAACGTTATCACTGATAGGGGCGGGGGTTGTAGCGGCACATTAATAAAGAACAATTCAAATCATGTTGTTGTTTTGCCTCGGAGTATCAAAATCGTTAGGATACACGTAACGTAATAATAAATACACTCCGGGCAAAACAGTGTCGCCGCTACGGACACCCGTCGAACAAGGACAAATTTGAATTTTCCGGCGCTTCCCCGACCAGCATAGATTGACAAGATCGTAGACAAATAGGTATATACCGAGTATCTACGGATTATCGATCAATATCTACGAGTTATCAGCGAGCAATTATACAATATCTTAGCGAATACGTTTGTATAAGCGTCTCTCGACAGTATTTATATTTATTAATATATTTAATTCTTTTAAATATGTTTGACGAGTTGCAACAGCAAATTCTCGTTATTCTATATTACAGTCCCCTACAAGTGCTCCACATTGGAAATCGGAGTAAAAGAGAACGTTTACATATGGATAGAAGCTATAAGATTAATACAAGGAACATTTTGGCCAAAAAAACCAGCCTATCAAGTATACATCGAAGCGTTCATCGTCGAACAGGATGCGTATATTCCAACTAATATATTTATTAGACAAAAAGGAGCACTTCTGGTCGAGCTTTCTCAACCTTACCCCAAGGACTTAATAAAAACGTTATCACTGATAGGGGCGGGGGATGTAGCGGCACATTAGTAAAGGACAATTCAAATCATATTGATGTTTTGCCTCGGAGTATCAAGATCGTTAGGATACACGTAACGTAATAATAAATACACTCCGGGCAAAACAGTGTCGCCGCTACGGACACCCGTCGAACAAGGACAAATTTGAATTTTCCGGCGCTTCCCCGACCAGCATAGATTGACAAGATCGTAGACAAATAGGTATATACCGAGTATCTACGGATTATCGATCAATATCTACGAGTTATCAGCGAGCAATTATACAATATCTTAGCGAATACGTTTGTACAAGCGTCTCTCGACAGTATTTATGTTTATTAATTTATTTAATTCTTTTAAATATATTTGACGATTTGCAACAGCAAGTTATCGTTATTCTATCTTACAGTCCTCTACAAATCCTCTACAGATCCTCTACAGATCTCTCGCCCTCAATCATATCGTGCAATCGCAATTAACCGCGAGTTCGCACGTAACTACCACCGAGAAACGTTCCAAGATCCCACGTACGGATCGATCCCTGTGTGCGAGCTCTCGTTCGAGAACCGATCGGGAACATTTCCAGGCAACCACGTAGCCGCCTTGGTGTTACGCGGCTAACGATCAATTAGGAGGCAACCACGACGAATCAATCGACGGGGAAGAAACAACGAGCGACCACGACGGAGAAGGGAGGAGTAGGAGGATCGAGATCCCTAGGAACCGATCCCCTTGCGAGGTCGATGCTACTAATTCCTCGGGGTCGAGTCGTGCCGCGACCATGCTCGCGATTGGTCCACGTCGGTGGCGGTCCCTTTTGTTCTTTTCACCAAGAACCGGCGATATGTGTAGAGCAACCTGACGACGATCGTGATATGCCAACTGGCGCCCACGCTCCTGCGACTTGAGACACGTTCCTGTGCTACCTTCTCGGCCCTGACCTGCCATCACCTCGTGCACCACTCTTTAAACCAACACCCTTTTATTTCTTCGCGCCGATTACACCGGACCTGCTGCACCTGGGGTATAGGTGTTTCTATTGCCCCGTCCTATTGCCCTTCCATTCCTCAAAATGTACTTGTACGCTTTCATTCACCGGCATTAATGATGATGGATCGACCGCACCATGGAATCAGATAGTAACCGCTACGGGAAATAATTGAATCGCGATAAGCCATCAGATAGGGATACCACGATCGTATGCTGATCGAATCCACGGTGAATTCATTTCTATTCGTAAATGAGCGATAACTTCCTCGAAACTCGACAACGCGTACTGCGTTATATCGTGGAAGACGACTGGATAAAAGGAATCTCTAGTGGCCGTGAAATTAGTAGCTCGGAATGATAGAATGAAATTGAAATAGAATCTGTAGCTAATAGAAGCCAACTTTGAAAATTAAGATACCAAGAGAAGATATTAAGATAACGGAGTACTGAGATAATACCTCTCGTAAATCTACGACGAGAATTATTCAATAACACACGCTGATAACTACCCATAGAATTATCCTTTACTCTGTTAAGAGATGTACATTTTTAACGTATAATTCTAACATGCAAACCTATACTGAGGCGTCGTAGAGAACAATGGAAAAACGAAAAATTATACCTAACACCTATTCTACTTTGGCAGTGGTCAATGACGATATACAATGCGCGTAATGGTAATGGAAAAAAAATCTCCATGGCTGACGATTGCGTTCACCATCCGCTAGAATTTCTCCCACCTCGAGCAACCTCTGTCCTCCTACTCTAGCGGCACAGCGATAGTTGGGCTACCTCTTCCTGGAAAGTGTACCATCGTCGACCATTGGATGCCATAGAAATCAAGGCTACCAATTGGACGACACCAGTCTCTCTAGCGTTCACCTAGGAATCTCGCGACCTCACGGAACAAATTCACCGCGCGGTACACGCGATGCACGTGCAGATGTAGCCTGATGCAGTCACGATGCGTTATCGACTCGGATCTGCGACGTCACGCCTTCAGGTTGCACGAAGCGTTTATGTTAATTGCACGCGACCTTCGCTGAAACCGATAGCTTCTCGCGTCAGCTGTAAAAATGTTCGACGTTCGCTTTCGCAACAACCACGGATGTAAAAATTGGATAAGATCGACGAGCAAAGCGTGCAAAAGAGAATCGACGAAAGGGATTTCAATTAGCAGCTGCGTTTATTGTTATTCGAAAAGCGCGATATAATGAAATTTAATTCACCGGGTTTATGTACAGGGGTACGTAAGAACGACGAACGGCAGACACGATGGAATTAATTCGATTTTTTCAATGTGTAAGCTTTGTGTAGCCAGGGACTTTGTTATTTAAAATATTTCAATATACATGAAAATTTTTAATCGAAGACAATGAATTTTTTTAAAGCATCGTATTTTTTCGATTTTTGTATAAAGCAGTTCGAACAAGACGATCACTGTGAAATTTTTTGGTAATTTAGATAATAACGATGATACACGAATCGTTAAAAATGACAAAAAGTAATCTACGTGTTAGCTTACGGTCAAATGAAAATTAACCGATTGTATAAAAACTTTTATCGCGAGATTCACAACTTCGTGGTTTAATCACATACCTAGGTACGTAATCCTTCTGCGATATAATTACAGATACATTCACAGAAATTACGTAAAATGTAGCGATGAATATTTTGTTTAAAGTAATGGAAATGTATCGAATAGAAATTAGAGATGCCAGAGTATCTTTTCGCTATTATGAAAAAAGATAGAAATTTTGAAAGATCGTTTTTTATATGAAATTCTCGATCCAGTTACCATAGTTCGACACATTAGAGATTTATACGAAAATCAAGTTATAGAATTTTCCTAACTTAATAAAGAAGAGATCGAACTCTCTTTCTTCGAACATACATTTACGACGAATCTTTATGAAAAAGTTTATAAGCGCGCTAAAGTTTAGAAAGCACTATGAAAAACACTAGAAAATGAAAGTTCCCAACTCCAACTTATCGTAATATCACGTAAGAATGACTGAAGAGTCTACATTAATGAATAGGAAGCACGATACGACCGATTTTCACATTCTTCGAGGGAAGAAAAATTGAAATTCCACGCGAGTATTCTTAAACGCGTATCGTAAAAACGCTTGCGCGATAAATATTCGAGCAACAATCAGAAGAAAAGGGTGGAAAATTTAATTAGAACCAATTTCACGCGTGAATTTGAACGCTCCCGTAAAGAATTATTCGCATAACAGACGCAATTTGTAAATAATGCAGCGGTCAACGTTTCGTCGAGGAGTTCGACAAAGACAGTCGTTCAAACTTCGAAGCGTAGAGCAATTTGTGCTCTACAACCCGTGAACTTTCCTCCGGCTCGCGTTTCTAATGTGTTGATAAACGTTCTCGGTGAAAAAAGGCAGGAAATATAAGCCTCGCTTGCATTACCGAGAACAAGTTATGCGATTAAGACACCGAGTGAAAATCTCGACGTGCTTCTACCATACCGGTATTCAAAGAACCGAGACGCGGGGTCTCTCAGTCACGGCAGGTATTTACTCCTATGCTCTAGGTATGGGGACACATTAGGCCGATCGCGTATTCCGTGACATCGGTGCTGTTTTTCCAGAAATTCGAGGAATGCTTGAGATCTCTGTGGTCGTGGTACCGGACGTAAAAGAACAGAAAGGTCCCAATTACGTAAGCGTTTTCGTGCGAATCACATTCCGCGAATTCCGAAGGAGTATCGTTATCTGAAGATAGCCTGGAATCTCTCTAAGAGAGGCTTGATAGCGTTTATTCAGAGAAAATCTCGCGTGTTGTAACGCGTGCGATCGAAGAAAACGATTACGCGTAATAGCCCAAACAAGTTAAATTAAACTTTCCCCGGTAGAACGAAAAACGCTCGGTGTTCTGTAAATTAGCGTAATTTGTTAGCTAGATGCTACGCATGCTTTTCATTATCGGCACTGAACAACGAAAGCAACTTGCTGGCTGATCGAACTACGGTAAGCAGACGCGAAGTAGCGTAGGTCACGTTCACCACGATGGAACACAGGGAGGGAACTTCCTTAGTTAGAACAACTTCGCATAAGTAGGTGATTCTTGCGTCCGCAGAACTACAAAACGTGAAATATGGAACGAAAGAACACACACCGCGGAACGATAGGGGAGGGGCGTGCAAAGAAACCGAGTTTACGAGATGATTGTCCTAGGGACCCTATTCATTCGACACGGAATCTCCAAGCGGATCTCTATTGTAGATTATTGCGCCATTGTCCATTGTCGCGATCCCCTCACAACCAAGCTTCTTGAGCCTTTCCTTGACGACAACGAAAAAGAGAGTCACCGGCGAATCAAGGTGAATGGAAAACGGAAACACGTGGAGGTTGAGAAAAATTTCTTTCTACCATCGAAGATGTGTAAATCTCATTTTACCAAATAATTAAATAACCAGATAACAATATACGATATACAATTTAAATTCCACGCTTTAATCCGAATAATTAAAATTGCGTTTGATCGAAGAATAATTTAAATGATACTCTCGTGCTACAAAGTCGAAATAGATATAGATATCCAGTGTACAGCCAAATGCATCGAGTCTGCGGGGAGCTAGTGATTACAGTAATTAGCCTGACGCAAAAACCACGTAATTCCAAATCCGAGCACGGGCGTTCTCATCGGAATCCACGCGTCGACGAATGCCAATCCCCGATGCGTTGTTTCCATTAAAAAACGTTCATCCTAGTTTATCTTAATAATGGTATCACTCTTGATCGTGTTGTGATAATCCCCTATCAAAGGAAAATCAGTTGTTACGCGTGTCCAGTAATGTAAGTCATTGAAAAAAAAAAGAAAATACATTCAGAACATCGAGAAAGTTAGAAAATCGTGCATCCTGTGGATCGTCAATGCAAATCGATCCGCTTTCGATCGACACCTGCGCGTGGGTACGCGCGATTACATATGTATAACTTCGACGAAAAGCGGTCGATGTCGTCGTATTTTAGATTTTATCAAGAAGATTCTACCCACGGTATCCTGATCATACGAGAAGGCAATTATTAGTAACTGGCAAATTATTGTATCCGTCGTAATTCACTTTAATGGTTACGCGTACAGTTAATGATCCAAGACGCTACTACACGTTTTACGCGTTTAAAGTCTAATCAAGGGTGAACTTTTCTTGTTTCATATAAAACTATCAGATATAAACCTTTCCTCTCTGATAGCTTGTGCTCGACAGTTCTCCTCGCCAACTCGATCAAATGTATAAAATACGCAAATTGTCCCAGAGAAGTATATATATGTACATACATGTATGTATGTTCGAACATAAAAATTAAGATTACCATTTCCACGTGGCAAGTCTAAAGTGTATATATATATATATATATATATATATACGTTAAAATATGAAAATATTTCATTTTGTTTATACACCGGACTATAAATCGAGAATAGCTACGACCAAGATACTCATCGCTCGGAGATAACGAGAATGAGAAGACGAGAAATAATTCCGCGGTCGGCTTAATTGTATGTACCCGATTCCTCGAATCGTTAAGCGTCTGACGAGTATTTAAAACGTTAAAATTGCGAACGTCTGTTCCAATCTAGGTGGATAGCCAGCTAGAATTCCAGATAGTCACAGGGGGCAACGGAATCGACGTAATCAAAATATTCATCGGATAAGGAATGAATGGAAGCACACGGAGAACACGGAGAAGTCTTGACAACGGCATAATTCGCGTGCTTCACTCACGGTACACGGACATATATCCACGGTAATTCGAGAAACATAACTCAAGTCCCAGCGGAGCGCTACATCACGGCCACCAGTTTCTTGGCAGATATCGCCACGGCGCACCGTGTCGGCTTCCCTTTGCTACTTTACCTGCCTTTTTCCTTTTACCACTCCTCGGTCAGCCCCGCGCTCACCCTCGTGTCTTGTCAACCAAGTTTTACCCCTTCCATCGTGGATTAACCGACTGTGACGACTTTTCATCGCGACGCGTGTCTGCCACCTTCCGCGAACCATGTAAACCGATATTCAAGACTTTCGCGGTGTTCATCAGAATTGATTCAAGTCGATACTTATTTTCGCGACGAGATCACAGGTGTATGGATAAAGAATCGATATATCAGATTTTGCGGGATCATTGCTTGAAAATTTCATTACATCAGGATATCGTGTGCAGGATATAAAAAAAACACGGCCTTTTATAACATTTATAACAAGTTTAATGTATCTAGGAAGCGAATGGAAATATATTTTTGTTTATGTGAATCTGCGAAAGTAATATTTCGATTTCTCTTCCGGAGAAATGTATCGATCAATGTAAGTAATACAACAAAATTATATTCGACCATTTGCATACAATGAGATTAAAATTAAAAACAAATAGACAGTAATTAAAAAGGAGAAATTAAAAAAGACGGGATTGAAAATACCGACTAATTTACCAAATATATGTCAAATATTTCGAAATTTATTAAATGCTTATCAAAGTTGATGAGTAATATTATGTACAATACACTTTTGAGCGTCATATTCATAAAAGGTCAGTGATCAGGATTTAAATCAAGATATATCACGTAGGAGCTGACAAGCCCGTTACCATTGATTTAGATGGTCGTGTTAGTCGTAGTAATTTAAAACGAAATTACCCAGCTAATTGAACGTATCGCGTTATGGTCAGAATATAATTACAGCGTGATCAAGTTATAAAATACGATGTTACGTCTTTATAGATGTAACATACGAGTTTAAATATCTGCATTAGACCTCATGTTCATAACAGAGAAGCAATCATTCATATCGTTGAATAACGCGCGCACAAAGAACCACGACAGAACAATAAAACCACTATACACATACTTCATGAATCATTCTCAAACCTTATAGTATTTTATGTGCATTACCGTCCTGTTATGTCTTTCGTCGCTGCGTCACACCCTTGTTTCATTGAACATGTTTCAGCTAATAATTATGTAACTTCTGTCATAAAAATAATCAAATCTAATACTTGCCCGATATTGCAACAATATTGCCGTAATGAATATCTACGATAATTAATCGAGCATGAAAAATGTTAAAACAACTTTCTCTAAAACGACAATATATATAATTTAAATGTAATACGAAATCGTTTAATATACATCTTAGATTTTATCGTTCTCATTCACAGCATTTTAACACCAACTACTGACTATTACTAACCTAACCTAGCTTTGTATAGAAACAGTTTCTGTATTTTAAAGAAATTTTAAAGAAATTAGTTCCTTGAAAACTCAACCAAAGAATACTAATATACAACGCTAGCATGATTCGTTCAATAAGTACGATATCTCAATGAAAATGAAATTTTTGACATTCATTGTTTTCCATCACCGGTAACAGATTCATTTTACATACTTGTACAGTGTTGATTATAATGTTTTAATTAATTATACCGTTTTACTATTCGACAACAAGTTATCACGTAAACTGAGATCAAGCAACGGTGATAATAAGATGCAACGTTTGGTAACAAAACTGGTACCACCTGTCGACAATTTTCTGATGCTTGTCTCGGTACGAGAGGACACATGTAATATTATGCTACAGCTATCCTAAATGTATACGAAGTGGCATGTTCATATATGTTAATCGGCACAAGAGCAGGCACTTAACCCTCGCTCGCTTTTACGAAGTGAAAAATAATTCTCGGTCCAAACGATGAGCGCATCGTGAATGTCTGTTTTATCTGGAACTTAATCTCTGCGCAATGTACGAATGGCTTCGCATGTTATCCTAAACGCATCAGACGACACGTGCAGAATGTAATTAAAAAATCAAACTAACACGCCTTCAGAAAATATAATTTACGATTCGTCATGGGTCTATAGTTATTCTTATTTTACACGTTGTAAAATAAAAATATCATGTCAAATTATCGAAACGTCTCACTTTCTTCTTTTCAGTTCCATTTTTCTTTATTAACCGCCCATAGGCAAACTAGGTAATTTATATTATTATCTAAGCCTACTTTTTTTTCATTATTCCAAGTTTTCGAAAAACTTGAAAAAATTCTAGAACAATTATCAATATCTTCGCTATCAAATGTTAAAAAGATATTTGCAAATAAGAAAAGAGTTTTTATAAAGAATAGAAATCCAAGGATGAAATTTTGCCTGGCTCGTCAACGATGCAATTTTCCTATGGAGGGTTAATAATTTTATTAGAAGTTTTCATATCTTTATCATTTATAATTATAAATACCATTATTTTTAAAGGCCGTTCACAAGTTACATATTTCAATATCCGAAAATGCTTATTTTCTATTAACATGTGATATAATGTACAGATATCGATAAAAATATGCATTAAATGATCATTGCACATATATTGCTTGCACTCATGTGTTTGCACAATGTAGAAATGCAACGTAACGATTAACATCCATTATAGCGTCGAAGTTTTTCATGGTGCATTTACAACCACGGTTCAGTTTGACATGCAATAAAAATAAAATAATGCGATGAGAACTTACCTTATTGATCCGTTGTCCTTGTGCTTGCCGATGAAGAAGGTTGTCACGCCATCGACCATTTGATTCGCCCACGGTGGTTTGACCCAGATAAGGTGCTTAAAGTGACCGGCATATGCAGCAGGCAACATCCAATTTTCGATGCTAATTTCACTATTGGTGAAGATATGTAATTTAATATCTCATAAATGATTAAAATTTAGAAATAAAAAGATAATTTTTTAAATGTAAAAATTAATTTCAAGAATGATTTTACGAACCCATTTTCTCAAAAATTATTGAAATTGAAAATGTCCTCGTCCCTTCTACGTACAGATTTTTTTTAATATAGCGTCCTACTCGATCTTCTTTTTATATTTAAACTGTTTCACGCGATACGTCTTCCAAAATATTTTTGGATGTATTTGTTTGTATTTGTTTATGGTAACTATTTATAAAAAAGACCTAACCCTAATTTTGATAATCTTTTAATATATATGTTGTCATCATCCTGAGTAGTGTTGCGAAGGTTTAATTGGGGTCGCTTTATGAAAGAGTTATTATCAAAAAAGAGTTTACTCAAAAATATATAATTTTCTACACATTATTTGCATTTAATATAATGTAGTTAACCAGATTCCTTAATTGTTTACCTTTCTTACTGAGATCGAAAAAGAACTCGAGAAAAGATGACTCGCAATTAGTACAGAACATATCGTTGTATTCAAATATTCTACATTAATTTCGATTACTGATAACAACGAACGACAACAAAATACAACGAAATTAACAACAAAATCTAATCTAACCCACATCTAATTTTAATTTAATCAGAAATAAGTTTGTTAGACAAAATTTTTTTCAGAATGAGGTTATTTCCACACATTCGATTTACCATTATCATTAAAATCTTCAGACTGGTGACCTTAAGAACACATTAAAAAATTATCGGAATGAGGGTAGCTCCGCTTTTGTGCATATTTACCTTATTTATATATTAAGATATAATACGTTAAATGAGAAAAATATGCAAATATTAATAATAAAAAGAATAAAAAATAGGTTCGTTATAATGAATATATAAGAGAGTATATTTAACAAGTAATTAAATTTTCTTAACAGCTTCTATTCAATAATAAAATAAAGCTTATTATCAATAACAATAAAAAATCTAAAATACCTAAACAATTGATTTTTATCCCATACAGTGTTCGCCAACATCGTTTTCGGTATAAGCATATCAGGATGCGAATCTAAATGCACGAACGCGTTTCCTTCGAACGGAAGGTGTTTCGATCCCAAACACCGATAAATGAATGGTAGCACCTAATAAAACAATGCAAAATTTCACAAAAAAATTCGAAGTTTGTACCACAATTTAAATTTAACATCGCACGATTTTAATTTCCAACGCCTTTGATCACGTGACCAATTCGTCATTGGTAGTTGAAACGCTTGTAGCGCCTCTGGTGTGCTAACAAGGAAATTTAGACAGAATAAGTTGCGATGTAAACAAACTAGGAAGACGTTGGTCATTCATAAACTCACCTCATTGTGGCTCTCTACCGCATAAATCGGGATCCGTTTGAAGTATTTCCTAGAGAATGACATATTTCTTTCCAAGCACTAAACATATACGAACGAACGCACGTAATCTACAAAAAAAAGATAATTACGAAATATTTAATAATTAATACCATACGACATCCACGTACACGATTAAGAGACTCCTTCACGCGAAAGCACGTGGTAACCGACTGAAGTATATACTAGGCGGGCTGCTCAAACGATTATTTTGCGAATAAAGGACGGACACAACAAGCGCGTACCCCAAATTCTCACGAGACGAGTTTCGTAAGGTGGCTTTTTTCTTCTCGTTCCCCTTGAAGAAACGCCTTAGAAACCTGATCCCGCTAACTCACAATCATTATATGACATTCGAATAAATAAAATTACTTAATATTTTTTGTACTGTGAACATTACATATTATTAATATTCTTTTGTATAATTTAAAATCAATAATAATAAATTTCAAGTTTGCAAGAGAAACATAATTTTGTTGAATTGCACAAATGTTATTTAAATTAATTTACCGCGAAGAATGATGAATTGTTTTTATGTAAAGATTATAAATTTTAAAAACATTAATTTATATTAAATGAAAAAAACGCACACGAATACTTTCATGTACAACATATCAAACAGTTAATTCAGTATGTATTTCAAATATTTATTGTAAAACAATATAATTATATACAAGCTATAAAACATTTTTCGAAAATAATAATTATAAATATATTATTTTCATAATCAACAAGTTTTACATTTTATAAGATATTATCGTGATTTCTATTGAAATTAACGATATATCAATTGATAAACAAGGATTAGCAAATGTTAAATGAGTTGCACACGAATACCGTCCCACAATTATTAGGATAATATAAACATAGTCCATTCTGAGTGTTTTGTACAGTATATTTCTAATTTAAGAATGATTTTCCATTAATTCATCACAGATTCATTATCAAAAAATTTAATTACGCAGTCCACAATTTGATTAACCACGCATACAATACGTACACATACAGACGTGTATTGCATGCATGCCTCACATATACAACAGTTGTTGATAATAAGTTCATAATATTGTTTTATCTTATTAATTTTAATTATAATTTTGCATTGCATTACGGAGCATTTCTGATTTATAAAGTTCCAAATGCAAGCGATTTGTTTCCTCTCTTAATGATGATAAAAACTGGTCAATTTCGACTTCATTAAGGTTATTACTTGATGAATGTGGAAAATGATATACATTCTCTGAAAATATATTGTTGGACAAATGTCCAGGTATATACATATAATCTTCTACTTGATTATGAGGAACATTAGGCATATAATTATAAAAAGGAGCGTAATATTGTAAATTTACAGGCTTCTCAGTTGTAACTTCATTATCTAAATGTCTCTGTGAAACATTTTTTGTTAAAGGTATAGGAGAAAAATTACATGAATTATTCTTTCGATGTTCATTAATTCTAGGAACAGAAACAGAACTTTGTGGTTCATTATCTACATAAGACTCTTGACAATTAGATATATCTTGAATATTCTGACTACTTTTTCTGCTTAAATTTGTTTCTATAAAAGACGAATTTAACCGATCTGTCATTGATCTAGATGACAAATCTGATTGCGTTTGTGACGTATATTGTTTTTCATACGTATCAGTACTATCAGATGATCTGATAATAAATTGTTCTTTAGCAGTATTATCTCCTTGTTTCTGAATCCTTTTCCGTCTACGAAATTTATTTTTCGCATTTACTTTTCCATTCAATCTATGTTCCTTAACGGTATCATTTTCACTAGAAAATATACTTGATGTACTACTAGTCAAGTTACAATTTTCATGACGTGTAACTTTTTGTATTTTAAAAAGATCATCCAAACCTAAATCAATTGATATAGAATTGTCAGAACTATAGTTATTACTCATTTTATCCCATTTATTATCACTTAGAGAGACGTTTTCTTCTTGACTAGTCATATTTCCAGTATTATCTAGTGCCTTATGTAAAATATCAACCTTTGAATTAATAACGTTTTCACCTCGATTTGTACTATCAAAATGTTCTAATAATTTTTCTTCCTGTTCTTTACTTTCATTTTTATTTGATTCCTTCTTAGATAATTCACTTTGTATTACTGTTAACAATTCATTAACTGAACAGTTGTTTAAACTTTTTAATTTTTGTATTAAATTGTACTTTCTATGCTCATCAATGAATGCCACAAAACTTGCTATTTGCAATAAATGTTCCCTAGGATAAGGATTTGAATATAAATATCGTAATGCATTGAGATAATCTTCTCTGTCTGTGTTGGAGATCATAAGATTTGGCATATATGAATCTAATTCAACAGGATATGGAAAATATGCATTAAAATTTTCTCCACATTTTCGATGAAAACTTTTGAAATTTTCTATTTCTTTATATAGTTCTAATACATTTTCGTCTACAGAAGTTCTAAAATATAAATAAGTGTCATTTACTTCATCGTCATTTCGTATTTCTGGATAAACACATAAGAGTGCTTTCTTTTGTACTCTATAAAATATTTTGAGCATTTCAATGTGTTTCTGATATATAAACCTTTGTATAGATTCTTTCATGACTTCCATTGTATTATTTAGTAATCTGATTTCAAAATCAAGTTTGTTTTTCCAAATAAATGCCTGTTTCAATAATATTTCCTCGTCATTTGAACATAACTCATCACAAAATGTATTAGAACCTTTCATATATTCTGTGAGATGAAAATTCAATTCTTCTAAAATGGAAACATCTGTGCTATTTTGAACATTATTTGAGATAGTTATCAGAGTATCAGCAGTTACATCACTCTTTTTCTGAATTTTCTGTTCTAAGTCTTGTTTCTGCATTTCATTATGTACAGTACTTCTAGAAATGGTATCTTCAGAATATACATCAATATTCACGTAATTATAATGAAAAGAAGATTTTTCTGTATTTTTACTTTGAAAATTATATCTTGTAAATTCAATAATCATATCAATATTAGAATTTGATAAATCATCTTCTTGTAAATCTGATAAATCAACTTCAAATACCACATTTTCATTATTTTTCTGCCAGCTGGAAGGATTATTGATTGCGGCATCCAATGTAAAACTATATATAATTTTAGGCTTAGACACACTGTACGACATGATTGTAGTCTCTTTCTTCTTCTTTTTAATGCATTGAGATTCATCTATCGGATTAATATATGGTACAAACAAAGAATTAACTTTTATTTTATTTTGTAAATTAGGCATGTTTCTTAAACAGGAAAAATCCATTATATTATTTTTTACTTCTTCCACATTTTCTGTAACTTCTTTATTTATATTATCTGTTGTTTCATTAACTTTTGACTTTATATTATTCTGTATTTCTATATTAGCAATATTCATAGATAAATCATTAATACCTGTAGTGATAGGCTTAATGTCAAATTGATTTTCGTCTTTTTCAGATTTTGCGTAAAGTTTCTCAAATTTTGTATTAGAAGTATTCCAAATATCATTTGGATAATCAAAAGGAAGTTTCAGTACATAAAAATTTGGACCTCCAATGGACATTAATAATTTTTTTAATGTTTCTAACTCATTTTCTGCAATTATTGTTATAGAGAGACCATAAGATCCATAACGTCCAGCTCTTCCTATTCTATGCAAATATGTTGGTGCATCTATGGGTAAATCAAGGTTTACAACTAAATTTACGTTATCTGCATCTATACCTCTTGCAGTTAAATCAGTTGTTACCATTATTTTACATTTAAAAGTCTTTAATTTATTAATGGCCTCAAGTCTTTTATTCATATCTTGATTTCCAGCAAAAAAGGTTGCTTTAAAACCCATAGCACTAATTTTGTTACATACAGATTGGGCTCTGTAAAAGACAGTGTATTTTAAGTATATATATGCATGGTGCTTAATTATTTGAAAAGGCGTAAATAAAAGAAATTATAAAAATATACTTACCTTGATTGATAATTTGAAAAAACTAAACTTTGTTTGAATGGAATTTTGTTAAATATCTTTATTAATTCATCTACTTTTATTTGAACCTAAAATTTAGTATTAAAATAATTTTATAACATTTAATATAGTAGATCGAGTCCATAAGTTCATGCATATTTTTAACTGTAATAAAACAATAAAAGGATATGAAAATGAATTTACAATATATTTAGTGCGATTCCTTATTATTTTTATAATAATTTATGCACCACGTGTTTTTATAATAAGTACAATAAAAATGGACATAAACTTATGAACTGGTTTGATATTTGTATGATTATACAAAACAAGAAAATTAAATCAAACCTGTTTCATAACATTTGGATGAGAAGGAACAACTGTTATGAACTGCGTGAGTCCAACAAGTATTGGTTCATTGTTATCTGGGGATGCTAAAACAGGAGAGCACATATATGCCTGTAAAAATATTTCCAAATCTCCCGGATAAGTGGCACTTGATGCTATAACTTGTTTACTTAATGGTAATTTTGAAAAGATATAGCTGAAAATTTTTATTGTGAATAATACTTTTACTTTTTTAATAATGTCAATAATATATTTCATTATTATACGAACTTAATGTCTTTCTGAAAACTGGTTTCCATTAATTTGTCTGCTTCATCAAGAATAAATAATCTAACATTTTCAACTTTTAAGAATTCTTTATCAATTAAATGTCTAATTCTACCTGGAGCACCAACAGCTATGTGACAATTATTCAATTTCTTTCTATCACTTTCTATAGCTGTTCCTCCTATAAATACTTCAACTTTTAAACCTGAAATTAAAAAAATAATTTTATTTCATAACTCCAATTATTCATCAAACAAATAAATTTAACTAAATTTAGAAAAATATTTACCTTCTATTTCACAAGCTACAGATGAAAAAACTTGTGCAATTTGTACAGCAATTTCTCTAGTAGGTGCTAGTACTAATACTTGTACAGACGATATATCTATATCAATCATTTCAAGTGATATTATACAAAACACTAAAGTTTTACCAGTCCCTGATTTGGCACGTACTATTAAGTCTGTAGTTAACATATACATTAATAACTTATAACTTAAAATATACAGATACAAAATAGAAAATATTATATACCAAAACCACATCTTCCTAAAGGAATTGCTTTTAATTGTATGGGTGAAGGTCTTTGGAAACCACAAAGAGATAATCCATCCAAAATTTTTTGGGAAAATCCCATTTGATAAAATGTAATATCTTCTTGTACTTTAATATCCTTTGTCCGTGGCTTTTTGTCAATATCATGTGCAATAATATGAGACATTTTCTCTATTTTCTCCTGTAACATAACTATAAAAATATTGTTTGAAATTTAATTTTTTCTATTTAAACGAAATTACGTAGATATTAGTATAGTATTAACCTGCTTAAATCAGATTAGAATTATTTTCTAATATTATATCATTTTGTTTAATCACATAGATATAATATATATATTAAATGAATGTACTTCACTGTTAATATTTTATGTATTACTAGAGGCATATCTAAAGGATATACCTGAATAATCACATATAATTCTTAGCGTGTCGGCTTTTACTTGTGATAAAAACAAGGTTACAAATTTTGTTGGGTCGACATACATAAATATACCTACATGACATTTTATAGAGACTGTTTTGATGTACCAGTATTACTTTCCTATCTGTTACTCAAGTTAATCCATTCTCCAATCACTTTATGTGAACTGGACAAACCGTGAAAACTTCAGTATAGTCAGAGAGGAAATTTCCTCTCTGATATAGTCTATCCATTGAAACAAGACAGTAAACGTAAACAAAATTTGATTACTGCAGCTGTAGTCAAATTTTCTTTGCTGCGTGGAGAATTTCAGTTTGGGTAGTTACTAAAGTACTCTAGTCGTGCTTAGAAGTTTTGAATAAACAAACTTGATAATTAACAAAAATAACATACAGGAGACATGCAAGAACACAAAGAAACCCAAACTTAAATGAATTAAACTTGATACAAATAACTATATTTTAATAAACTAATTACAGATTAAGAAATCTTTAATGTAGTATGATTTCCATGCTTTTTGGATAGCGCCCAGATGTCGGGATTAGCTTTACGATATTCCTCCCTTTCTCTCGTTATTTGGTCTATTTATATCTTCGTATTTTACATAACAAACGCAATTTGCTTATGGTTCGATAAGAAAAATTGTTATTAATTAATATTAATAATAATTGTTCTTATTGAAGTTTATCATATAGCAGAGCGAACGATTTCTTTGATATTATGATATGTTACGATAATTTAGATAAATATCTAAATTAGAAAGTGGGCGGAGCAGCCAGCTACGCTCATTAAGACCCAGAACTGAGGACAACGCGTCGCGAGTTCGAATCTTCGGCAAGAAGAACTTTTAATAAAAGGGACGGAAAAACCAATTAGAAAATGATTATAATTATCACTGATAGATAATTTGACAATTAATCAATATTTACATAGGTAAAATCTCTCTGTTCCTTGCTTCGGCTACGTTAGTTTACAATTTGAATTTGGCGCTAGCTAGTTCATGTAGCGTTCATGTAGGGGACGTACACAACGATTTACAGTTACTTACGTCTCCATTTCGTTGCACAGCTGCAGCACTTTAGTATACATTCTGCAGTGTATAATGAGTATAGTCGGTGTACTCGTAGTTACGATAAATATAAATATCAATTTATTTAATATAAAAATTGTGAAAATACAATATAAATTTACGTCGTAAACAGTTTTCTTAAGTGAGAAAACATGGGACGCCGTTCGATAAATACCACAAAAAGTGGAAAATATATGAATCCTACCGATCAAGCACGTAAGTTGATAACATAACAAAGAAATTTACTTAAAAATCATAAATTTAATAATTATTATAACTTATTATAACAAATTTGTTGCAGGTAAAGAGGCACGTAAAAAAGAATTAAAGAAAAATAAAAAACAACGGCAGTTAGTACGCGCTGCCGTTCTAAAGGGCAAAGATCCGGCTCAGATTATCGAAGAAATGGAAAAAATAGATCAAATGGGTAAGTAAAATATTTGACAGTTAACATTATTATGAATTGTTAACTATTGTTTTGTTATATATTATACATTTATGAATGTTAATTTATATATTTATGAAAATATTTATATATTTATTACTTATTATATATTTATATATTTATGTTTTAATTTTCAGAATATAATGTTATGCAGCCACCACCGCTTAATGAGAAAGTGCTGAAAGACAAAAGAAAGAAATTGAAGGAGACCTTGGATCGTGTCTTGAAAATGTATGTAAGTATTAATTTTTAAGTAAGTATTAATTATTAGTATTAAATCAATGGTGATAGTTAACATATTGTAAAATATTACATATTTATTTTTGGTTCTTTACAGGCAAAGGATGATCAAGAAAAGTGGGCAGAGTTAAAAGAACAATTGATACAATATGAACGTAGAAGAATAGATCTCGTTTCATATTTTGAAGCTGTACGACATGCACAACAAGTACAAGTTGATGAAATTCCATTACCATCAGCTGCTAATGACATATCTCGAATGTACTCAGGTAATTACTTATTCTAGTGTTTATTATTATGGTATTATCTACAATTTCATTCATTTCATGTACATATTTTATAATCTTATATCTTTATAGGTTCTTTAACTTCACAAATACCTTTGCCGGATATGCCGCAACCACCAGCGCATATGTATCCGCCCCATCCACATTACATACCACAGCATCATCCGCTTATGAACATACCAATACCACCAAGTATTTTAAAAAAGACAAGTGCATATGCAACATCTCCTTCTATACCTACACTAGCACCTAATAAAGAATCACCCGGTGTCCCACCTTTTCCACCGCCGGATCTATCAAGTGACGATGAAGATATGTCTGACAAGGTTAGTATTTCAATTTGTTCCAAATCAGTTAATACATTATTACTTTAGAAATACAAATATTATATGATCATGAAATTATTTATAGACTAAAGAATCAGTACCAAAATCGAGAACAATTCGATTTGCGGACGACAAAGAAGATAATAAACAAGAATCAGACGGTAAAGATAAGGACGGTGACAAAGAGAAGGAAAAAGAAAGAGACATAGCTAAAGTAAAACCAACTACTCTACAACAGAAAATGTTAGCTATGGCAGGGCAAGATATTGATCAGTTTATGCGTGAAATGGAAGTTGTTCATAAAAAGCGTGAAACTGAACGAGCTCAAGATTTAAATGCTCGATTGTCACTACTGGAAGCAGAAAATGAATCTAATTCAAAGTCTAATAATAAATCTGGCAATAATAAAACAGAAGTAGAGGATCTAGAACCTCCAGGGGCATCAGACCATTCATCAAACCATAATCAACATACATCACATTCTCATTCTCAACATACACAACCACACACAATGCCACCTATGGGATTGCCGCCACCTCCTTTAATGTATAGACCTCCACCACCACCTTTACATTTAAGGATGCCACCGCCCCCACCGCCCCGTATTGGACTTCGATTACCTCCTGGTAAGAATAATACATACTATTTAATGATTTGTCAATATAAATATTGTAATAAATAATGAATAAATGG